CGTGACAGTTTTTCTGTTTTTAAATACCAGTATTCTCCTAATGATAATACATCATGTAATCATAATTAGCATCAGGATTTCAGGACAAAAAAGGACATTAGAGAGATGCATGGTGAGTTTAAGGATGCAACTTTTTTTTTAAAATTGTATACTTTATTTTTCTTCTAATTACATGAAAGACAATTTTTAATATTTGTTTTTTAAAATTTTGAGTTCCAAGTTCTCTCCCTCCATCCCCTCCCCCTCCATCAGACCGTAAGCAGTTTGATATAGATTATACAGGTGCAGTCACTCAAAACATATATTCATATCGGCCATGTTGCAAAAGAAAACACAGACCAAAAAGAAAAATAACAAAAATTAAGAAAAATATACTTTGATCTGTATTCAGACTCCCATCAGATCTTTGTCTGGAGGAATATAGCATTTTTTTCATCATAAGCCCTTCAGAATTGTCTTAGATTATTGTATTACTCATAATAGCTAAGTCATTAACAGGTGATCTTTGTATAATATTGTTCATACTGTGTACAGTGTTCTTCTGGTTCTGCTCATTTCACTTGCATCAGTTCATATAAATCTTCTGAAACCATTCTGCTTGTCATTTCTTTTAGCACAGAAGTATTTCATCATGATCATATACTACAACTTGTTCAGCCAATCCCCAAATGATGGGTATCCCCTCAATTTCCAATTTTTTGATGCGGCTTATTTTCAAGAATAATTACTGTTTAAAGAGTGGTATGACATCTATCATCAAAAGCGTGCATCACCAGAAAAGTTAGATTTTCAGCAGTTGGATATAGGAATGACAGATGGACAATTTGAGTGCCTTACAGGTATTCATGAAAAATTAAAAGAACTAAAGGGAAGGTTCCCAGCATGTTGGGGAGATTCTCTAAAGGATTTATAAGATGTCATAGATGAGAATTGTGTAGGATAGAAAAGCATGGAGTGATTTCAGTCTATACTGGTGAAAAGAGTACCCATATCAATGAAATCACTATGTCATAGAAGTATGCAATACATAAAATTTTCAACAGCATACTTTATCTTAAATATAATCAAATTAATTAGATACTTACTTCAATGTTCTTAAGCACCTAGAAGTTAAAGTTGGTGTTTTTAATGATACCATAGCTGGAATATTCAACTTATTTGATTATAAAAATAAAATACCCTTCACATGTACTAAACCCTTGCATTAGAGAAAAATATGCCTTTATATGAGTTACCCCACACTTCAGAGGTTCAGAAAATAAAGTTTTATTACTGGAAAAAATCAATTTAAAGTAGGCCATCAGAGACTTGCCACTAAAATTTCAACCTGGAAGGATCTTGCTTCTAATTATGTTTTCAGAAATGAGCTTTTAATAGAAAGAAATACATTGCCATTTTGTTAATGTGTTCCTGATGTTTTATCCATCAAGTTATGGGATACATGACAGGATTCCATCCAACATTATTATTGTGGCACTAGGCACAAACAGAAAAAAAATGGATTTCAGCTGTTTGAATGGAAATGTAAAAGTATGATAGGATGGAAAGAATGTCCTAGACTAGTTTTTATTCATTTTTTGAAAAATCTGTAAAAATATTTGTAAGCATTTTCTTTTGCCCATTTTTTAGAAAAATGTTACTTTTTTAGAATTTAAAGAAGAAAAATCTGCTACTATCGATGTTATATAATGTAATACTTCATATTGTCAGATATTTTTTAGGAACCTTTTAGCCACAGATCATAGCTTGGTATGTTTCCATTACACTGCTTCTGAATTTTCTTTTATTGGGGATATTCACTCAGTTCAAAAAGTCTTTTGTTTTAAGTGTTTGAATCCAAGACATTAATTTATGTTTTTGACCTGGGGAATCACAGTGGGAGTTTAGGAACACGATTTTTATACGTACCAGCTTTTTTTCTAATGGTTATTGCACGCAGTTTTTTGTAATACTTGTTTGGAATCTGGCAGCACCTTATTTTATGGATTTGGGAAGAGGAGATCTTGCCAAGTTACACAAATTAACCAAAATGAATCCTTATCTGCTTACTTTATTTTCAAACTAGAACAGAGAGCCCATTAGAAAACAGGTTTGCTAACTATCAGATCTCAAATTCCTTCTCATCCAATATCTCCATAGTAAGAGCAACTTCTTTTATCTCTCTGTCTTGGGGCTCAGTTCTCATATACCAAATTAAGGAGATGTCCTTTTATCTCCTTTCTGCCATCAAACTCGGGGGCTGAATACATTTGCCTACGTTCTTACTTTCCCCCATGTTTACCCATCTTTTTTTCCTGAACATCACAAGGAATATATTACTACTACTATTAATAATAATAATAGCTAACATTGATATAGCACTTTGAGCACTTTACATATATTATCTCATTTGATTCTTGTAACAACCTGTGAGGTTGTTTCTGTTATTACCCACATTTTTTAGAGATGAGGAACTGAGGCTGACAATGACACACAACTATAATTTGTGGGAGAATTCAAATTCAAGTCTCTCTGACTCCAAATGAATTTCAGACTCTATTCATTGTGCTGCCTATTAAGGAGAAATGCATAGTTGCACCCCTTGCGTCTAATGTAAAAGCAGAATGTAATGGTAGTTGGACATCTGAATTAAACAGCATGTTGGATAGGAATCTCCTTGATCCAGGGCCATAGGTCTCTAGTTCCAACATCCTCATTAGTGAGTGAATCAAAGAATAAATCATAGGAACAATCCATAATTATATTAAAAAGAATGATAACAATGAGATGACATACCAAAAGACTATAGAACTTAAAAGATAGTTTTTTGGGGAACCTGAAAAACAAATTACCAAAATCAGATAAGGAAAATAAGAACTGATCAATGTGAATTCACAGAATAAGAAAATAAAAAATTATCATAAACTTCTATAAACTATTATTTGCCAGCAAAACTGAGAATTCAAAAGAAGTTGACAAGTATCTAATAATTTAAAATATCAGACTAATAAAAGATGGATTAGAAATCTTAACCTAGTCTCAGAACAGAATTTAGCAAATTGTAAATTACCTACCAAAGAGAAAGACCCTTGGGCCAGATGGAGAAATTGTAAATTGTATCAAATGTTTAAAATTTGTAGCATAATGTAACAAGACTTCTGTAGCATAGTCTGTAACATAACTGTGCTACAAAAATAATGCACTGTTGTACCTCCAGGATCAAATATGAAATCCTGTCTTTGGCTCTTTTCTACCTTTCTAGTCATCTTACACCTTGTACTCTACCCCCACGTACTCTGTGATACTGTAACACTGTCATCCTTGCTGTTTCTCAGGACACTCCATCTCCTTGTTCTGGGCATTTTCATTTGTTGTACCCCATGCCTGAACCTCTGTCATCTTCCTCCTCTTCTCTATCTCCTAGCTTCCCTGGTTTCCTTCAAGTTCCAGCCTAAGTCCCATCTACAAGAATCCTTCCCCATTCCCACTTAATGCTAGTGGCTTCCTTGTGAAATCATCTCCCACCCTGTATGCTTCCTGTCTGTGCATAGCTGTTTGTATGTTGTCTCCTTCCTGTAGTAGTCTCTGAGCTTCTTGAAAGCAGGGACTGTTTTTTTTTGCCTTTCTTTGTATCCCCAGTGCTTAGCATATTGTCTAACACCTAGTAGGCACATAATAAATGCTAAATGGCTGGTTGACAGAATATTACTCTGTCATCTAATCTATTGAAATGTGAATTTGATGGATTATGTCTTTAACACCCTAATTTCTTTAGGCCTGGCTTACTTTTGGTAATAGATAGTAGATTTGAAATATTATTATGTTTTTCTTATGCTTCCTTTTTTTTCCCCCATTCCTTACCAAATTTGAAGAAACTTTTAATGGGTCAAATTTACAAAAATGCATATGTTTGCATAACTGTTGGTATATGATTCAAAATCCTGCCCATTTTCCAACCACAAACATCTGAAATATCATTGAATATAATCAAATATTTACGAACATCACATAAAATTGTAGAAATTTGAACCTTAGAAATTATCTAATCCCATGGTTCTTAATCTGTGATCTTTGGTTTGTTTTTTAAAATATTTTGATGACTATAGCTTATATAATTGATTTCACTTTTAATCCTGTTATTTTATACATCTTTAAAAATCTGAAGAAGGATCTACAAAGGCTTCACCAGAATGCCAAAAATTTCAATTAACACAAAGGGAATGAAATCTAGGCTAACTTCTTTATTTTACTGGTGAAAAAAAATGTGTCACAGAAAGATTTAAGTTCTAATATCTGAGTCATATAGTGAGTTCTACAAGCAAAACAAATTCAGGGATACTTCCAGTAGAGCACACTTAATTGTGATTTATGATGCATCCAGAAATATCAGGTTTAGTTACTTTTCAAAAATCAGTTTTAAAACTTTATTTAAAAAATAATGGTAGGGGGCAGGTAGGTGGCACAGTGGATATAGCACTGGCCCTGGAGTCAGGAGGACCTGAGTTCAAATCCAGCCTCAGACACTTGGCATTTACTAGCTGTGTGACCCTGGGCAAGTCACTTGACCCCATTGCCTAGCCAAAAAGCAAAAAAAAAAATTGTAGAAAGTTTTGTGTGGTTGAGAGTGAAGAGATGTGAGTTATTTTGGTTGTAGAGTATAAATAGGTATATTATTTCACAGCCTGTATTTAGTAGTTGTAATTTTTTTTATTTAATGAAGAAAGTAGAAATTTTGAAATAATATGACGTGATAATGCTAGCTTTATATGAAATTAATTAGTCTTCATTTAATCATAGCTGCCGAACTAGATTGACCTTCTTAAGTTTGGAAGGGTTCTTTTATTGGGGATTTATGGTAGCAAATGCTGGTTGAAAGATTCTGTACTTTGCATATAGAGCAATACTTAACATGCTTCTTTTGAATCTGGGTTAATAATCAATATTCATTTTATCTCATGGGTTATTGTTGTTGTTGTTGTCATTTTTAATGAATGTGTTAAGCTAAATTGTTTCTTTATTAGGTGGTGATGAAATCAGTGGGGCAGAAGATGTCAGATCTAAAAAGAGCCAAAAGGATGATGATGAACAAATTACAAAGTACAGGCAACTTTTGCAGCTTATTCAAGAAAAAGAAAAGAAATCCAAAGACAATGACATGGAAATGGAAATTAAATGGGTTCCAGGTAAGTTAAGTCAACTAGCATTTCTTTAGCCCCTGATATATGCTAGGTATTTGTGCTTAATGCTGGGGCCACAAAAAAAGGCAAAAGCAGGCCTTGTCTCAAGGAGCTCACAGTGTAATGAGGGAGATAGCATGTAACCAATTATTTATAGATAATATGTACATTATCAATCAGGTATACTCCCAGAGGGAAAGCTCTATGATGAAGTAGGACTGGGAAAAGCTTTTTGCAGAAGGTGGCATTTTAGCTGAAACTTGAATGAACAGTGGAGATGAGGAAGGAGAAAGTTCCAGGCATGGGAACGTGCCGATGAAATTAATGCTCGAGGTTGGGACATAGAATGTCATGTGCATGGAACCAATCAATATCACTGGAGCTCAGAGTACATGGGATTGAGTAAAGTGTAAGAAGACTGGAAAGGTAGAAAGGGATTGGGTTGTGAAAGTCTTTGAAAGCCAAACAGAGGATTTTATATTTGATTCTGGAGGTAATAGAGAGCCGCTGTAGTTTATGGTCAGAACTGAGTTTTAGGAAGATCATTTAGACAGCTTAGTGGTAGATAGATTGGAGTAGGGAAAGACTGAGACAGTCAGACCCACCAGCAGGGTGTTATAATAGTCTAGGCATGAGGTGATGAGGGCCTGAACCAGGATGGTAGCATTGTCAGAGTAGAGAAGGAAGTTAATGCAAATACTTGACCATTGAATGAGTGTGAGGGTTAAGAAAGAGTTAAGGAGTCATGGAAGCAGGAGTTATGGAGGAAAGAAAGACTATGAGCCAGACACTGAATTCATTGAGAAAGAATCAAGAGTGTTCTGAAGGTCTGTAGACAAAAGCTACCAGATATTTGCTTGGATAATAAACACAGTTCAAATGAACCTCAAAGGAGGAGTGATGGTGGGCATGGAGGTGGCATAGAAGTAGCAAGAAGTATTCCAACATCTCCCACCACAGCCAGCAAAAGTGCAACCAGTGCTGGAAAGAGTAATCCAGGGAGAACTATGTATGTACCTACCTAAAAAATTTTTTTTTTCATACTGAATTTCACAAACCTGAGTAGATTTTTAGATTTAGAGAAAAAGAACATTTATTTGAAATAACTGTTAATTACTAATGTGATATTAAAAAGAAGCAACATGCTTTTAGTAGATAGATGATGAACTTGGTTTTAGGAAGACCTGAATTCAAGTTCCACCTATGACACACTATCTTTGTGACTCGTTACAACTCATTTTATTTCTCTATGCCTTATATAAATCCCTAGGATTTCTTTATAAAGTTATGACTAAATGACAGGTCAGCTTCATGTTAGTAGAGAATTTTCCCATATCTGGAGTTGTACACACTGATAAAATCTCAAATTAAGTAGTAAAAGAACTATGACGTTGGGCATTTTCATTCTCTGAGATCATCATCAATAGTAATAATCATAACAATAACTAGCATTTTTATAGTGCTTATTGTGTGCCAAGCACTGTGCTAATCTCCTTTTTTCAGTTGAGGAAACAGGCAAACAACTTAAGTGACTTGTTTAAGGTCACACAACTAGTGTCTGATGCCAGATTTGCACTCAGATCTTCCTGACTCCAGGCCTACTCTCTATTCCCTGTGGTACCTAGCACCTAGCTACCTCAGCAAATGAGGTTAGACAAAGTGACTTCAAGGTGCCTCTTAGCTCTAAAATCTTTGAACCTTTGTTTCTTTTGGCCTGGAATGTACTAATATCTCTTTTGGTTCTGTTTGGACTCTTTTTTTTTTTTTTTTTTTTTTGGATAATAGTGTAATCATTTTTATGTGTTAGCAAAAGTAGGTCCTTGATTCTGGTTGAAAGTAATAAAACTTTCATTTTTTTAAAAAGTGCTCTTTATTTCAAATGATTTTACTGTTTTAGACTGACTTTCTTCCTTGTCCTAAGTGGATTTGTATCTTAAGTGTGCTGTGAATATCTAAATAAATATACCATAAGTGATTATTGCCATTTCAACCGTCTTTTTTTATTTGAGAGTTAGCATGGAAAATCAGGTAGCTAGGTGCATAGTGGCTAGAGCACTGGGCCTGGAATCAGGAAGATTCATCTTCCTGATCTGGCTTCAGACACTTAGTAACTGTGTAACTCCGGGCTAACCCTGTCTGCCTCAGTTTCCTCAACTAAAATGAGTTGGAGAAGGAGATGGCAAACCACTCCAATATTTTTGCCAAGAAAACCCCAAATGAGGTCACAAAGAGTCAAACACAACTGAAAAATGACTGAACAAGCAACAAAATGGAAGAACAGAAAAAGCAGTGAATTTGGAGTTAGAGGATCTGGCTTTAAGTCCATAAGGGTGGATTGACGTGCCAAGGTTACACAGACAGTACCTTAGCCTGGATTCAGTTTCCTCATCTATAAAATGAGATTATTGGGGCAGCTAGGTGGTGCAGTGGATAGAGCACCAGCTCTGGATTAAGGAGGACCTGAGTTCAAATCCAGCCTCAGACACATAACACTGAATAGCTGTGTGACCCTGGGCAAGTTACTTAACCCCATTACCTAACCAAAAATAAAAATAAATAAGTAAAAAAATAAAATTAGATTATTGAACTGGATAACCTAGGATCCTTTCCTACTCTAAATCTATAGTTCTATAAAATTAATGCCATTCTAATACAATGAAAAACATGTTTAGGCTAAATGGAGGAGTACAGAAATAAAACCCATTGCTATGTTTTTGATTTATGTTACACAGTTTTCCAAGCACAAGCAGATCAACAAACATATTTTTTTAACCAATCAGCAATCCTGCTTTAGTAGATTATGCTTTTTTTTAAATAAGTGCTTATTTCCTTAGTACTGACTAGTTTATAGAAAGATAATTGTATATTCTTTTTAGATTGCAGCATATAACTCCATAATATTTTTTACAATAAAAACACAACTTTTGCTTTGGTAGTTTTTATTCTGGAAATAAGTAGATTAGTATTTATTTTAGCATGTACATATTAGAGTTAGCAAATATTAATTATGGCAATTGTACCAAAATTGTTATTCTATGTAGCATTGAGGACTTAGGATATTAGGATAATTTAGTATTTTGTACTTTGGGGAAATAAATGCAAGGCTAAGAAAATGAAATACAGTACTGTAGGTAAGAATTGACTGAAGTCTGGAAAAAAAGTGTAAGGGAAGATATGATAGTTTTAAAATATTTGAGTACTGTCATGTTAGAAGAGAAAGGAAACTTGTTCTATTTTGTTTGAAAAGAAACAAGTAGAAAACAATAAATGTAAATTAGAAGGAGATAGATTTCAGCTTTATATAAAAAAGGGAGTAGGAGAACTAGATTTGTGGTTTCTTTGATATAGGGAACTCCTAGGTAGGTGAGGAAGCTCCCTCTAGCAATGTAAGTTATCACCTTCTCTGCAACAAAAGTTAGGTGACTTTCCTAGGGTTGCCCAGCCAGTATATGTCAAAGGCAAGTCTCAAATCCTGTTCTTTCTAGCTTCAGGATGGCAGCTTTCTATCCACTAAACCATGCTGCCTCTCCCTACATAAGAAAGAACTTTGTAAAAATCAACATATTCTGTTGCTGGATAACTGTCATAAATTCCCTAGTATTCATGCTTAAAGAGCACAGAATGCCTGAAACAGACCATAGAAATTTCCCAGGCCAGTCACCTCAATTGACAAATGAGAAACTAGTTAGTGACAGATTGGGAATCCAGTGTTCCTGCTACCCAGTCTGTTACTTATACCATTATACCATCTTATATTATTCAATCAAAGGCTAGATAGATAGCCCCATCCAGGTATTCAGTGAACATTTGTTAAGCTCCTTTTATGGTTAAGAACTGTGCTATTTGCAGCTTGACGTGCTTTATAAAGACAAAAGGTAGCTTACATTCTACAAGGGAACATATTATATGTAATAATAACTGATATTGTTTAATTGAAAGAAAAAAACTTTATTTTCATAATCTCATTGGAGCCCCACAACCCTATAGGCCAGCTACCCTGGGTATTATTATCCCTATTTTATGGGTGAGGAAATTGAGGCCAAAAGGGTAAATTATTTCTTTGTGGCTATAAATACAGGATGTACAAAGGTAGAATTTAACCAGGTCCTTTTGACTCCACTATATTCACTATGCCATGCTGCCTTTAAGACTTTTTCAGCAGAGATATAGATCAGTAATAATGAGCAGGATAAGTATCGTGTAGGAGGAGAATTTTTGCCTTGGAGGTGATGTCTGAGCTAAGTTTCGAAGGAAGCTAGGAGTTTTAAGAGTAGAAGGTGAGGAGGGACTCCTATACAAAAGTACAAAGATGGGATATGATTTTTGTACTGTTAGTGGCTGATGAAAATGGACTCTTTTTTTAAAAAAATTTATTAATTTACTTTGATTTGTCAACAATCATTTCCATAAGCTTTTGAGTTTTAAATTTTCCCCCCCTTCCTCCCCCTGATAGAGGCTGTACATATACATTCCTATTAAACATATTTTCACATTAGCCATGTTGTAAGGAAGAATTAGAACCAATAGGAGGAACCACAGGAAAGAGGAAACAAAAGAAAATCGAAGAAAAAAATAGCAAATAGTATGCTTCGATCTGCATTCAACTCCATAGTTCTTTCTTTGGATGTGGATAACATTTTCCATCACGAGACTTTTGGAGATGTCTTAGACCCTTGCTTTGCTGAGGGATTAAGTCTGTCAAAGTTAGTCATCCTACAATGTGGCTGTAACTGAGTACAACGTTCTCCTGGTTCTGTCCACTTCACTCAGCATCAGTCCATACAAGTCTTTCCAGGTTTTTCTGAAGTCTGCCTGCTCATCATTTCCTATAGCACAATAGTATTCCATTATATTCATATACCACAGCTTGTTCATACATTCCCCAGTTGATGGGCATGCCTTCAATTTCCAATTCTTTGCCACCACAAAAAGAGCTGCTATAAACATTTTTGTTCATGTAGGGCAAATGGACTCTTAAGACCCTTACAATGCTTAATTCATGATAG